TTATTTCCAATGAACCACCAGAAAATCACAAGTGGAACTGTGGTACAGCACTAGCCTTGAGCAAAGAGCTTAGAGACAGTGCCCAGGCCCTGAGTTCAAGCCCCCCCCCCACACACACACACACACACACACGAATTTGTACCAGGAATTATCAGATTATCAAAGGTTCCATTCTTATGGAGAAGGAAAATGACAATATCTTCCCAAAGACAATTAAATCCATATGTGATTGATCAGCCCTGTGTGTTCAAGTCCTCCTGTGTGTGCAGGTCCTCCTGTGTTCATCATGTGCCAAACACTGCGCCAAAGCCTGAGAGAGCAGTGGGCCAAGATACACAAGTGGTCCTCGGCCTGCCAGCTTCCAGCCAGAGGAGATGCCGCGCATGCGCAGGCCTGCCAGCTGCCTTAGTCCACGGTTCCACCCAAGGTAAACCGGCGAGAGAAGGACAAGGCTCTGCTCCTTCCGGCCAGTTGCTGCAGTGCGACTGTCCCCCAAAGCTCCCATGCTGCAAGTTAATCTCAAAGCCCACACGTTAATGGCATTTGGAGCTGGTGCTCACGGGAGATTATTAGAATAAGATGAGGTCGTAAGGGTGAGGCCCCACGGTGGTTTTAATGGAAGAGGAAAAGGAGGAGGAGGAGGAGGGGGAAGGGGAGGAGGGGGAGGGGCGGGGGAGGGGGAAGAGGGGGGGGGGAGGGGGAGAAACCAGAGCTAACATGCCTATTCATACAGAAAGAAGGCTTTCCCCAGAGACCCGAACATAAGCCTCCTCTGAAACCATGCATAGCTCAAATGAACTTTCATTCTTTACAAATCATCTAGCCTCAAGTGTTTGTTACAGCAACAAAATGGACTAAGATGCCTGCCAACGTGCCCTCCAATTCTACAACAGCATCCAACAAATAATAGTTCATGTGTGCCAAATTAACAGATTAACATATCGGAGCCTGGACTTCTCTATGTCCCTTCAAATCGTAGTGTTTTGTCTCGATATCTAACATGAAAGGATTAAATGGCATCCTGAAAGACCCAAGGTAGTATTTCCAAAGAGGCTGTGAAAGTCCAGCGGCTTGAGAAGATGGGCTGGCTGAGTACAGCCCTGGAGAGGTACCCAGAGGCTCCACACAAGCTCATGGACAGCTCCACACGCATGTGCACACACACGTGCGTGCACACCCACACACACACACTCATGGAAGCCACATCTGTGTATGGCAGATCACAGACACTCACAGCCTACCTACTTCTGCAGTGTCATTTCCAATCAGGTGTTTATAAGATGCTCAGAAAACATACTATGAAATTAAAAACCATCATTTCTCAGAGAAAATTGAAGTTGCAGAAGTACATGGTCAAAACACATAGCACCTACATAATGAGGAAAATCACATCTCCCTCACAAGCTCCTTGGAGACCAAGTGCACAGAACAGGTTTTAACCTGTTTTCTCCCAATACACAGGGAGCTACTGGTCTACCAGAAGTTTCTCAGAGACTGCTCTGGCACATTCCAGTCCTCACGAATAGCATAATAATGCTTGGGGCTGTGTTGTTGTAGCTCCTATTGCTATACTATTATTATTGTTATTATTATTATTTGCATTTGCATTTCTGGGCAACCATATCTATTCAAAGTCTAGGCCTTTCTTGAATTTTTCTTTGCTCCATTAAATTTCACTTTCGCTGCTTTGGAGAATCTAAATGCAGTGGCAAATGCCAGCTCAAGGGCCTATGCTCAGGAACCTATACTCAGTTACATAAGCAGTGTCCAAAACACAGCTCAAGGATCCCTGGTCATGTGGTAGTTTAGACTATCTCAGCTTATCCACCCTAAACCTTTCCCAGAAGAAAATAGGCTGGAGCCAGAAGCAAAGCTGTAGAGAAGACTTCCTCTCTTAGAGAATGATTACTATGATCAGAAGAAACTTTATCAACCTCAGGCAGACCTTGTGACCCTCAGAAGCTACTCAATCTCACTGTTTGGATATCTAGTTGTTTCCTTCAGAGAAAACAGGACACCATATCAACCATCCAAGTCTGACCTCACGATACTCTGCCAAGATGTACTGCTGGCCTTGGCCTACAGGAACTGCTACCAAGCAGTATCTGAGAAAGCCAGTTGTTTCTACCTTCCCTAATGCTCTCATCCCCAGAGACTGGAAGTAATTCAATGCCTATAGGGATGTTTCCCTGAAAGAAGAAATAGAAGGAAGCCAAGTATAGTAACTTTCAACTACACCTGCTATTTGGGAAGCTAAAATCAAGAGGATCATGCTCAGAAAAGTAACAAACCAAAAAAAGTTAGGAATATAGCTCAAGTGGCAAAGTTCCTGCTTAGAAAGCACAAGTTACTGAGTTCAAACCCCAGTATTGCCAAGTAAATAGATAGATGATGATGAAGATGAAGGTAGATATAGATAGATAGATAGATAGATAGATAGATAGATAGATAGATAGATAGATAGATAGATAGATAGATAGATAGATGTAGCGGAGTGGGGAGGAAACTTTGTGGGCAGAATCAACAAAAGCTGTAACTGAATAATGCTTATTTTAAGCGAGGCACTGTTCTAAATGTCTTATGAGAACTATTCTTGAGCCCTCTCAATAACCTCGGAACAGTTCTTATTATTGGTTCCCCTTTCATCTATGAGATTAATGAAGGCACAAAACAGTAAAGTAACTTTCCAAGGTCACAAGCAAGAAGGCAGCAGAGCTAGGGCTGCATGCCAGACCTCTTGAGTCAACAATCTGTGTTCTGGCTCCATGAGCAGGCAGGACCCTCATTTAAACCTTCAACACACACCATGCCTGACATCTGCACTAGAGATCCCATGCTTGCCCTTCCCATACCCCAAGGAAGAGATGCACTTCAGAGGCATGTCCTTCTCTGAACTATCAACCTGGAAGGTGGCTGCAAAAATCTCCCCAATAGGGATGGCCTCCATGCCGAGAATCTTGAACATGCAGCAAACACAGCAGGGGGCAGAAGAGAGGCAATGGTAGAGAAGATCTCAGTCAGAGGGTGAAGCAGGTGCAAAACTCTCAATGCAGGAAGAAGGTACTTGGTTATGGCTAGCATGGTGCCTATTACCATATGTGACCAAGAGTGAGGACCCCCAGCAAAGACAAGAGCTGAGAAAAAGGAGACTGGAATAACATCACAGAGGGCTTGGACCTCGAAAAATCAGCAAATCTACAAGGAAAAAATGAAGAACTTTACACTGAGAAACAAGCGATCAGATCTTCTCCTGGTTCCCTGGCAATTTAGAAGGAACTGGACTGCAAAGGGCCGGGCCTGAAAGCAGCGAGACTAGAGATGAAGCTACGACTGCAATGCGATGGCTTTCAGATTGTGGGGGATACTCTAAGCAGGTGTATCTGGAGCCCCTTAGCCCGATGATGTGCCGCAGGCCATCCCAGGACTTCCCTTTGGCATTCCACCATCCTGCCCTCAGGTGATGCCCCCCAGTGTGTCCCTTTACACCTGTCCTAGGACATGTTAAAATCCTAGCAGAGCGCCTTCTCACCAGGAAGGAAACACACACATCATCTCTCTCCCCTCAGACCCTTGGCACCAAACACTTCTTAAAATCCTGATGCTAATCACTTGGATGTGTTTCTTTACTTATTAGATTTGCCTACATTTTGGCCAGAGAGGTTTCTGCAAGCCTGAAAGTATTTCTGAGGATTATGATTTCACATGCAATGCACATTCTTTACCTTATTATCTCCAGCTTCCCTGGGCCCTGGCTAAAGGTCTTTTAGAAAGGGCTTTTGTCTTTTACTTTATTGTTTAAAAAAAATGCTCTTTGTATAAGTAGCTCCTGGATTTTGTCCATGTATTTTGGATATCTTGTACAATTGCCTATTTAAAGTCAAAACTTCCTTGTGGCCAGAGTTTCCTATAATGATAGCTACTCAGGAGGCTGAGATCTGAGGATCACAGTTCAAAACCAGTCTGGGCAAGAAAAGTTTATGAGATTTTTTTTTTTCTAATTAACCACAGAAAAGCTGGCAGTGGAACTGTGGCTCAAGTGGAAGAGTGCTAGCCTTGAGTTAGAAACACTCAGAGACAGAGTGCCAAGCCCTGAATCCAAGTTCCAGTGCCAGCAGGGACTTCCACAAGATAAATCAGAGCTGTCTTCCCAATGGAGGAACTGTTGGGAATATGACACTAGGTAGATGAAATTCAAGCCTTCGGGCATCCTGAATCCCAATGTTACAATGCTCCAGAAACATGACAATAGATAAGTAAGATCCCACTTTCTACTCCAATGTATTATTTTCAGTTCCAACAAAATGGAATAGTTTCTTGGCGCTAAAAACACTGGCCAGCTCCAGGCCTCTGAGATGTACAACCTGGGAATTCTTCCATGGAACCTACCTGTTGACCTTCCTTCCTTCCTTCCTTCCTTCCTTCTTTCCTTCCTTCCTTTCTCCCTCCCTCCTCCTCCCTCCTTCCCTCTCTCCTTCCCTCCCTCCTTCCTCCCGCCTGCCTGCCTTCCTTCCCTCCTTCCTTCCTTCCTTCCTTCCTTCCTTCCTTCCTTCCTTCCTTCCTTCCTTCCTTCCTTCCTTCCCTCCTTCCTCCCTTCCTCCCTTGCTTCCCCCATTCTTTCCTGTCTGTCTTTCTGTCTTTCTAAACCTCATTTGGCACAAGTCATTAAGGCACGAACAGCACCTGTAGCTTTTTGGTTTTCCCTTAATCCTTGTAATAACCTCTGCTGGGAAGGGCCGGTCAGGATTTTCAGGACAAAGGACAGTGAAATGCCGGCTCAGAACTCTCGACCTTCTCCATCCCAGACTCCAGGCTTTTTTTTTGGGGGGGGGGGGGGGGCATGGTCAAGACCTTCCCCAGCAAATGTTCCAGAAACTTCTAACTTCACCCTCGTCCCACCTCCCCCCGGCCGCCTGCGGACGCGCGGGGCCCTGGGGCGCGCGCGCCCTTCCTGCGCGTCCTCAGAGGAACCGAGAGTGCGGACGCGCCGGCCCGGACGGTACCTTGACGAAGAGGGTGATGTCGTGCTCCGGGCCCTGGCCGCCGTCCTCGCCCTCGCCGCGGCCGTTCACCGGCGCCGCCCCGCCGCCCCGCGCGCTGGGCAGCTCGGCCAGGTGGTTGGTGAGCGGGGCGCCCCCGGCCTCCCCCTCGGGGCCGCCTCCGGGGGACCCCTCCGTGGGCTCCCGCCTCTCGGGCTCGCCCTCCGCTTGCCCGGGATCCCGGCCCTGCGCCCCGTGCTCCCCGCCGGCGCCGCCAGCGCCCGGCCCCGCCGCCGCCTCCCCCTCCCCGGGGGCCGCCGCCTCCCCGCGCTCCTCCGTCCCCGGGCCCGCCGCGGGGACCCCGGCGAGCTCTCCCGGGCCGGGCTCCCCAGACGCCGCCCCGGCGACCGCCGCGACCTGGGACGGCTGCGCGCTGGGGTCCTCTCCGCCTTGGGCCGCGCCCGCGTCCGCGTCCGCGCCGGGCCCGGCGGGCGCGCGGCCATCCACGCGGAGCCCTGCGGGTGCCCCGCCATCCACGCCGGCCCCCGGGGGCCCCTGGGCGCCTGCGGGGTCCCCGGGCACCGCGGGCTGCGGCTCCGCCTCCCGCTGCGCCTCAAGGGCGGCGGGTCCCCCCGGCTGCCCCGGCGCGTCTCCCGCAGTCCCGCCCGGGGTGCTGACCTCGCCGACCGCGGGGCCGCCCCCCTCCGCCTCCCTCTGCGCCCCCGCGCCCCCGCCCTGCAGCTCAGCCCCCGGCTCACAGCCCGCGCCCGGTCCCCACCCGCCACCTCCTTCCCCGTCCGTTACAACCGCGGCGACTCCGGCGCCCTCCTCCTCCTCCTCCTGGTCCTCCTCCTCCTCCTCAGGCCCCGGGGCCGTCGCCGCGCCCTCCAACGCAGCCTCCTCCTCCTTCTCCCAGGTCACGGCAGCCTCACTCGGTCCCTCGGGGCCCTCCGACAGAATCGCCGGCCCGACGGGCAGCTCCTCGGGGCCCGGAGCGCCCCGGTCCGGCTCTGCGGCCTCGGTCATGGCCACCGATCGCTGCCCCAACGGGAGGGGGACTTGAGTTCCCTGCCCTGCCCTGCCCTGTCCTCCCCTGCCCTGTGCACCGCGCAGGGGCTGGTGCTCCGGGTGGGACCCTCGGTGCCGGGGCCCCCACGTCCCCTCTGGGTCGCCCCACGCCGGGCTCCCTGGTTTTTACACCGCTCCCCCCCCCCGCCCCGCCAGGTGAAGTCCAATCAGCCCAAGACTCTGTCCTCCCAGGGTGAAGGCCTTTGGGGTCTTCCTCCGCCCGCCACGCTTCTTCTCAGTTCGCACCCAGACCCCAGGCCGGAGGCGCGCCCACGGGTGCGAGGCCGGAGAACTCAGCCCGGGAAGCGGAGCGCTGGGGCTCTGTCCCCTGCCCCAGGTTGACCAGAAGTGCTCGGTGCCAACTCCATCCCCCGAGGGCTGGGCGGGGCGTGTCCTCGCTGCCTCCGCCCCCCTCTGTTTGGGTGGCCTGGGAACCCGGCCAATGATAGCCTTCCTGTGGCCCCGGTGTATGGTGTATTTTAATGAGAAGACTGGTTTTACTGGCCTGGGGGAGCAGGAACAGCCTCAAGTTCCAGAGCCATTTAAATCAACAATTCTTCCCCCCCCCCCCAACACACACACACACACACACACACACCAGGAAGGGGGGGGCCCTCACTTAATTTCCACTCTGCCCAGAAGTGAAACCTGTAAGCATCTCTGGGCCTTTATGCCTCGTGTGTAACAGCCAGGACACGAATAAAAAGATTGGGAAGGCCATGCTCACTGCTTTCCCGTCTTTATTTTCCTCTTTCTTCTTCTTCTTCTCTTTGTGCATGTCCTGGGGCTTGAACTCCGAGTCTGGTTCTGTCCCTGAAGTTTTTGTGTGCAAGGCTAGTACTCTAGCACTTGGGATGCAGCTCCCATTGGCTTTGGGTGACTAATTGAAGATAAGAGTCTCAAGACTTTTCCTGACAAGAATGGCTTAGAACCCCCTGGATCCTCAGATCTCAGCTTCCTGAATAGCTGGGATTAAAAGTGTGAGCTATCAGTGCCGGGCTAATAATGCTTTTAATGAAAGACTAAATGACAATTCATCATACACACCAAAAAAAAGTGGCAAGAAGACAGCAAAAGGTAAAAAGAGTTCCCAGGTCCATAGACTGGAGAATCCGTGTTGTTAAAATATCCATACTCCCTAGGAGGGATCTACAGATTCAAAATATCACAGTTGATCCTCACATAAACATATAAATGCAAAAAAGAAAGCAATCTTGGGGGGAGGGACCGCAAAACTGGAGATGTCATACTTCCTCACTTTGAGACATACTACAGAGCCATAATAACCAAAATGGCAGGGAATAGCATAGAGCCCCAGAATAAACCCTGTCACAAAGGATGCTGCGACACTGGAGCCACGGGCAGTAAGCCTCTCTCCTTCTCTCACTTTGTACAAAAATGTCTACTCAGAATGGATGCCAGACCCACATAGAAGATTGAAAAGTATTAGAAAAATCACTAGGGGAAATACTTGAAGACGCTGGTACAAATAATGATTTTTTTAATTCTCCAGACACAAGAAACCAAAGCAAAAATTGACAGATGAGACTGTACGTTAGATCATTTTAGACTTTGCCAGAGACCCACGCAGACATCCAGGTACAGAGAACAAAGAAAGGTTTATTGCCAGGAAAGGGACCGGCAAGACTCCTTCTCACAAGGGAGAAGTGAGAAGCACCACCAGCTATTTATCTGAGGTGACCCATATAACCTAGGAGGTTTAGGAGGGGCTGGAAGGGGCTAGGAGGTGGAGACCTGGGTGTGGACGTGTGGGCCAGGGCTTCATCATGGCAGACTAGGATTGATGCATGCTGCTGGAGTAGATAGGGCCCTTCAGCTGCCCAAACCTAAAGGTCACTCTAAGGGACTCTTGCTGACTTCTATGGTGGCAGCTGTCCAGAGAAGTATCATCCCAAGGTAGAGTGGAGTGGAGGCTGATTATTTACTTTATTCACTGCCTTTACTAGATGGTCCTAGTGTTGCCTAGGAAGAAGCATGCTAAGCTGTGCAGAGGGGAAGGAGCATGCTACGCTATGGAACGAGAGCTCTTGGTGCTAACACTGTGTCAAACTAAAAAGTCTCTGAACTACCAAGAAGCAACCAAATGAACAAAGAGAATCTACAGAATGAACTATTGTGACCTGTTCACCTGACAGATGGGTTAATATCCAGAACATATAAGAAACTGGAAAGTTGGGGCTGAGAAGGTGGCTCAGTGGTAGAGCGTTTGCCTTGCATGCATGAGGCCCTGGGTTCGGTTCCTCAGCACCACATAAGCAGAAAAAAAAAGCCGGAAGTGGTGCTATGGCTCAAGTGGTAGCGTACTAGCCTTGAGCTGAAGAGCTGAGGAACGGCGCCCAGGCCCAGAGTTCAGACCTCACGACCGGATCCAAAAAAGAAAAAAAAGAAACTGGAAAGCTTAGCCACATAAAAGAAATAATTCAACTTAAAAATAGGTAAGTGGCCTAAGTAGACAATTCTCCAAAGAAATGCAAATGCCCGACCAAAATTCTCAGCACCATTAGCCATCAGAGGATTATAGACCAAAACCATTGAGAACAATGGAAGAGGTGACATTTATCAAGATGCAATGTAGTTATAAACTGAGTTATTGAACTGAAGCTCCAACTTTCTACAACTACTCAAAGAGAAAAAAAATCTCACTATAGTTAGAATTTTCAAAATAAATAAATAAATAAATAATGCTGGTGAGGAAATGGGGAGAAAATGAAGTCTTTACACTATTGGTGAGAATGTTATTAGTACAGACTTTGTGGAAACCAGTATATTAGCTCCTCAAGAATAGCACAAATAGATCTACTATATGAATTAACAGAAAAGTCCTACCCCTAGGCATATATCCAAAGGGAATACAATCAGCATAGAGCAAAGGGATATCTACACATGCAAATGCAACAAAGAAGTTAAATCACAAAATTTAAGGTTTGTACTCACTGTGGGTACCCATCAACACATGAATAAAGAGAATGCATATATACAACATAGTACTACTCAGCCATAATGTAAGTGGAAATCCTGTGTTATAGAGCAAAATTGATAGAACTGGATGGCCATATGTTGAATGAAATAATACACACACAAATACCACATGTTCTTTCTCATAAGTGGAAGCTAAAAACAGAAACAGTCAACCTGGAAGTAGAATAGTAGTTGCTAGAGACATGGAAGGAAAAACTGGTGGTAGGATTTTACCAGTACACGATATGGCTCTATGCATGTATCAAATTATCACAATGAACCTCTTCTAATACGTGAAAAGAACACATGTTAATAAGATAGAAACTAATATAATGAAAAAGAGTTATGAAAATTTTGCAGCAAGTTTTTATGAGGCAGACGAGATCTGATGGACAGAATTACGCCTAAGCTGACACTACCTAAACATGGTGATGCTATAGGTTGCCAGCTCAAGCTCAGGCTCGTTAATGGCTTTAGCCTCTTCAGACACTTTGGCTCATCTCATCCACAAAGGATCCTGTTGGGGACATCTTGGATGTGGCTTGTGGCAGGCATTTAGCCATTCACTGAGGTGCTCCCTTCTCATTGCAGATGACAAATGTGATGGTTTCACGTGTTGGAAACTTGAATTGTCAGCTCCCTATGATGAGCTCAGGCCTTTGGGAGGAACTTAGGGTCACGTGAGGACATGACTGTATTTGTGGTTTTGTGAGAAGAGGAAAAGACACACGTTAGCCCATTCTCTTCGTCTGTCTCCCTCTCTCCTCTCTCCTGCCCCTCTTCCCTCTCTCCTCCCTTTTCTCCTCTGTATTCTCTTTTCTCCTCCTCTTTCCTTCCTTCTCCCCCTCTCTTTTCTGTCCTCTCTCTCCTCTCTACTTCTCTCCCCACTCTCTCTACTTTTCTCCTCCCTTTCTCTCTCTCTCTCTCTCTCTCTCTCTCTCTCTCTCTCTCTCTCTCTCTCTCTCTTCTCCCCCCATCTCAGTATCATGATTCCTTGTAGACCTGGTTGCAGGAAGAATGTTCTCACCAGGTGCTAATGAATCTAAATTTTCAGACCCCAGACCCAGAGTGTAGAAGTCCCACCTCAGGTCTGGCCATTTGTTCTCACGCCAGAGATATAGTGAAGGACAGGAAAAGGAGATTTATTACGGGGTAGCCATGTAAAAGTAGCGCTTGTGTTA